AATGTACATTGCGCATTTTGCATTTTAGTAAATGTTACATGAACAAAAATGCACCTTAGTGCCTTTTTCTTTTGAATTATTTATAATGGTTTATAAATAATTTATATTTATATTATAAGTAACTGGTTTAATAAATAATTGATTCTAATTTTGACTTTTTTTTTTTTTTCCCTAATCTTAATGTCTTTTTGCAGAAAAAACAAAGAGAATTTGAGGAATACATCAGAGACAAATACATCACAGCCAAAGCTGACTTCAGGACGCTTTTGAAAGAGACCAAATTTATAACCTATAGGTGTGTGCAATGAAATGTTTCATATCAGCAGTCATTGTCTTTACTAGTTCTTACTCTAATGGCCAAAGCATTCTTTGCATTCACACACATGTTGACATTATTAATTTTTAGGAAAAGAAGAAGCCAACTTTTATCAAAGGCCAAATACAGCCCATATCTACGTTACCTTTTTTTTTTTTTTTTTTTTTTCAAAGAAAGGGCCCAGATGTCAATTCTTATTTTGTGTTACCCACCCATCCAGTTTTTTAAACACACTTTTGTTTTTACTTCACTGCTTTTTTAGGAGTACCCCTAACTATTTAAGAATTGTATTCGTGAAGAGACTTTTAAAATAATCCTTCACTATCCATTATCTTTGCTTCCTGTGGAGACTATTCAGTGTTGTGAAACAGTTTGAAAGCTTGAAATCATCTTATTTAAGCTCAGCAAAAACATTTTCTTTTTTCAGATGATAGCAGTTTGCTGGATACTTTAAAAATTTTAAATGATAAAGTCAGAGTTTTGAAACAAGATTTCTCTGTAACATGCCCAGTAGTTCCACATTCCCAACAGTTTACCATCAGGAAAACAAGTTAACGTTGCTTAGCAGTCAGTGCACAGGAAACAGTTTTGTTTCATGCTCCAGCTTTTCTTCCTTTAAGAGAAAAATTGGAAACATCTTAATGAAGGGTATGTGCACGGGAGGATAGATAGTGCTGAGGGTGTGGTTTTTAGGTATTTTGTCATTGGATTTTTTTGGTCAGGATCCTTAATGTTTTGCATCAGCTTGGGCTTTTAAATTAGATGTGAAGTAAGACTTCTTTCTACATTTTTATAGTTAATTTAGTGAAAGATGTGAAAGTGAAAGCTTGTGAGAGATGCTGGGATTGGCAGCCCCGCAGACTGAAGTCCTCTGTTCATCCACAGAACAGGTACAGCACGGGCAAGATTTACCCACCCACCCTCAGCCCTGATCTGGAGGGACCACCAGTAGGGGTGGGAGGGTAATTCAGCTTCTGAGGCCCTTTCACTCCTTGGAGTCTTTGCTGAGGCGACTTACAAAGGTGACCACTGCAGTGAAATTTTTCTTAAAAAAATAAATAAATAAAATGGAAACACGATTAGGAACTAGATGGACATTTCCAGCTCATTTCTGAAAGACCTAGGAACAGCAGTCAGTAATTCTTGGACTTCTTTTCTTATTTCAGATCCAAAAAGCTAATCCAGGAATCTGATCAGCACCTGAAAGATGTAGAAAAAATCTTGCAGAACGACAAACGGTATCTAGTACTAGACTGTGTGCCCGAGGAGAGGCGTAAACTGATTGTGGCATATGTGGACGACCTGGACCGCCGGGGTCCACCCCCGCCTCCCACAGCATCAGAGCCCACGAGACGATCAACAAAATAATTCTCAGTACTCTTCCACAGGGGGATCTTCATTCGAAACGCTTGCATGAGCCAATTTTCAGGTTTTTACATGTATGTGCATTAGTCAAACTATTGCAGAACCATCTGACGAACAGAAGGAGAAGCATTCGTGAACCGTTTCTGAACAGAGAACACTTTGGAAATAATTTATGCTTTTCTTTGTGTGGCATGACTGACATACATACTCAAATATAGGCTGTCTCTAGTAAATCTAAAATCTCGAAGCTAAAAATCATCCTTTTACGAGGTGTGGAAGTCAGTGACTTTTGGTGACGTTCTTTCTAGCAGTGTTAAACATGCAAGACGTAAGAGCATTTGTGGTTTGAACTTATAAGATGCAAATACCACATACTCCAAGAAAACCTAAGTTGGGGGTTGTTCTGTTTTGATTTTGTTTTTTAAAGCGGGTAAAAGAGAAAACACTGAAAATTGAATTCTTATCTTCCAGAGGCTAAGATTATAATGGACATACTTTTACCTTTGTCTCTAAAGAACACTTTAGTTTTGTTTGTTCACTTATGTGCTTTGATTATCCCCTCAGAATTAGAGGCCAAGTCTTGTTGTTTAGCCTAAGAGAAGATTTATTTAGTAATTTCTTCTCAGGTATGGAACCATGGTCATAACTAACATATTGGCCAGAATAGGACTGCTGGTTAAACACATTTTATTTACCATTAAGTGATCTTTATCAATATTCTGGATTAGACAACAAATTACCTTTCTTGGGTGTTCCCTGTAAACTATACTCCTGTTTGAATGTTAAACTTTTGTTTCTAAAGTTTAATTTTAAGATGTTTGAATGTTCAGTTTATGTATTTGAACTACAATAAACCAACCCTTTTTATATATGTGGATTGTATATGATTATTGTTAAAGAATTTTTTAAAAAAACTTCTTTTAAACCTGTTCTTAAAAGCAGTAGCAAATGTAATTTGGCACAAAGAAAGTTGACTTTACATCTTAAGTATCACGTAGTTTTTAAAGGCTTGAATATAATAAATTATTTGCTGTATAAAAGGGAAGGAATGTAAAGAACCACTTTGGTGCTCAGTCTCTTAGCAATATCTTATTGCTTCATAGCAAGAAGATGCGGATTTGTTGTTCTCTTGTTTTTGTCTTTTTATGTTACATGTGGCTGATTGCTGCCTTCTTGGCATCCTTTCAGTGGGTCCTACACATCATACCATGACGCCCACCTTTGACCCCCACTTGCTCTTTCTAGCTGTACCTCCCCAGTTTAAAGACTCCTCTGTCTCCTTCCTTCATAGATTTCTCATTTCAGAGTACCACATAAATGCTTAAGGAAAATACGTTAAATTGGATAATTTGTTTTCCCTGTTGTGTCACACCAGCTGTGATTGCAACAAAACATAAAATGAGGAAGAACCAATAGATCTGTATTTGTAGGTCATGTGCACACAGACACACATCACATGCATACACAGACTCGTTCACACGTTACTTAGTACTTAGCTTAAGCATATTAAGTGCCACAGAAATTATGTATAGGAAACTGAAATTACCTGACTAAGGTCTTAACCTCTACAACTGAAAATTAACAAGATATTTTTCTCCCTTTTTTCGAAGGTCGTTTTTATAATTCCACTGAGTGGCTTTTAAGTTCCGTGAGGAATGAAACTGCAATGTTTGCCAAAAGGAACACAACTATTACAGGAATATAACCTACAAAAGTGAACTTTTTAGAATGTTATATTTTTCTGAATTCCACCTAGTATTGTTTGCCCACTCACTACTTTCTGTTTTTCACAGTTGCAGAGTGTGAAAAAAAAATGGTTTGGTGATACCTATTCTAATTTCCTACTTCTGTTGTATTTGGGATTGATTGTTCATTTAAGGTGCAAATCAGACTTCACTATGCAGATTTCTTTAAAAGATCAAGTCAGGACTGTGTATTAGGTTCTTAATGAAAAGGTCATTGTAATTACACTGTGTCTCAAAATGTCCATCTTGACTTGGCGCTTACCAGCAAGCTCCTTAAAAATACTTGATTCAGTTTACCCTGAGACCTATATCAGTGTTAAGGTCTGACCTCCCCATAAAGCCCCATTGTGCCAAATAATGATTCTGAAAGGAGCATTCAAGACAAAGACAGCTTTTTAAGTCTCCAAAACTATCTGAAATAAAGCAATTGTTTTTATTTGTTTACAAGTTAAAATGTCAAACACTGGAAGCTTACATCCAACATTTACTATATATAATGAACAGTCTTTAAATCAAATAGTTCATCACAGACAATTTTAAAGGTACTCCCTTTGTATAACTATTGTCTCACAAAACAGTATTTGGATATTTGGGTTAAATTGTACTTTGTGATCTTGTGAGCCTTAAAATAAAATTTGTAATGAACTAAGTAAAATGAAAACAGCCCCATCTTCTGTGTTGAAAAAGCAAACCACAACCATTTGTAAAGACAACAAACCAAAAAACCCACAGACTGAACATTTTTTTAAAGATAAAAGTTCCATCCACGGCATATTTTTATATTTTAAGTTCTCCATGGCTTGGCCTAAAGGCAGTTTTTTTCTGAGGGAACCCCTCAGTGCAAATACCCCAGAGTTCCATTACAAAGTAATCAAGAATCGTGGATAAGTGTCCTATATATTCTCAGAAACTGAAGACAATTTGCTTTACAAAGACGAGTGAAGCAGGTTATTTAGGATAAGGCAAAGTGTGGATTTACTTAAACTTAGCCAAAAATAAGCCATGGTTTGAAATCAGTCCACATTAAGGTGGTGGTCCTTATTTTGTAACCTTCAGTCATGGAAATTCTACATGGATTAAGCAAACGAAGATAACTCCTTAACATACATTAATGTTTTTAAAATCTCTTAAGTGGAAGTAGTTTTTGAGTTTTGGTTATATGAAAGTTTGATAAGGAACGTTAAGGCTAGCAGGCTCAGGAAGAAAGTAAAAGGAAAGGAGTTCAGCTTTTGGCAAAGATGGGCTCTGCTCCACCAGGTACAGACAGGGTGGTCCTAAGGAGTACCCAGTAAAACCGATTGTGAACAAGGGACAAAATACCTGGAATTTCTAGCGCGTGTGCCGGAAGCATCTTCACAACACTTAGCCAGGATATAATTCTGAAACACAATCATCATCACTACCATGGTGTTCTACTTCCCAAATTGCACATTTTGAAAATGCATACTGGGAAGCATTTTTGTAATTCTAGCGCTAGTCATTGTATTGTGTTGTATATGGTAAAGGCTGTAGTGTTGACAAGCAGTGGGACGAGTCAATACAATAATCACAATTTGTTTGCTTTGAAACTGAATCTATTTGTCACAATCTCCCATCTCCTGATCTTCATGTTCCCAGGGGATAGGGTCATTGTCTTGTACACAAGGGACTGTGTCCCTCTCATGCCAAAACTGCTCTACATCAGGGAGGATGGGGATCTGTGCCTTCTCACTTCTCTCTATGCCAGAGGAGGGAGAGCCGGTTTTCTCTTTCTCTGGGGTGGATGTTGGGGACTCGGGAGATGGGTCATTGTCGGGAGGGACCTCTGAGTCACCAGCTGGTGTCTTCTGAGACTCTGAGGCAGTCGGGTGCTTTTTGGTTATCCATTTCCATAAGCCTTTCAAGTCTTCCTTGAACTCCTCTGACATCACTAGAAAAATGAGAGGATTTGCCGAAGAGATGGAAAACATGAGGACTTGAGACAGGGCTATAAAACCTTGTGGTGGGGCCGGGCCTCCGGCCTTCACATGCCATATCCACAGCCAGGCTACCCATTCAGGGAGCCAGAGGACAGCCGAGGTGACAGCAATGCTCAGCAACATCACCGTGAGTTGCTTGGAGCGCATCTGGTTTCTAAGATTTTGAGTCTTAGTTCCTCGTTTTTTACACTGGCCATAAGCTCTCCAGAAATAAAAACTGGCAAGGAGTGACGGAAGGCAAAATGCCAGGAGAGGGTAGAGCTTACCAAACATGGCCATGAACTCTTCTGCCACAGGGGGTACATCCATGAGGCACATTTCCACACCCGCATGAAGCCTGGTGGTGCTAAAGAACCATTCGGGCAGGGGTAGCAGGCTAGCCACAGCCCAGATGGCCACCAGCACTGACCAGATGGTGCAGTTGTGGATACTTACTTGCTTGGCTGGGTCACTTGCATACATGAAGCATACTTTGGCCACTGCAACGATCGTCAGGCTCTTGGCTGCCATGCACGTGTGGATGAACCAGTCAGAGGACTTGCAGACAAACCAGCCGAGGTCCCAAACACTTTTGAAGTATGCTGTAGCTCGGACAGGTGCAGAAAAGAGCAGGAGAGAGAGATCGGCCAGGCTGAGATTCAGAATCAGGGAGTGGATCATGGATGGCTTTCCTTTCCAGGCGCTGTGAAGGAGGACGCCCATCACGCAAACGTTCCCCATGAAGCCCACCAGGCAGACGGCCACCAAGAGAGCCGGGACGATGGTCCTCCAGTCCTTAGAGTCAGAGGGCAGGTATCCTCCGGCAAAGTGGAGATGAGCAGACGTGTTCATGGTGCTGGAGTTGGAGCCTGCGAAGGCAGTTGCCGGCATCAGCTTTCCCACGCAGCTCGTCCTTACAGAAGTCCGCTCCTTTTTGTCTTTCTGCCTCGGCTCTTCGGTGTGGGAAATAAATGTGCTGTCATCAGTGTCCAGTGACACCCTGGGCCCTCCCCTTGCTTGTTTCCTGAGAGCCGAATGTGGAAGAAGGTTGGTTGCTCACCTCTGCTCTGTCGCATGCGAGACACCACCGCTGCACTGAACGGCGGCAGCGGGGACGCTTGGGGGCTGCTCATTAGCAAGCCTTGTGTCACATCGCCAGCCCTGTGGCGCTAAAACCCCATAGACTCATAAATGATAAATGAGGACAACACACATGTAAGTGGGATGTATTCCTGGGGGGTCACGAGCCAGTGAGGCAATTATTTTCAACCAGCTGTTTCTGAAATCTTGACTGCAGTCTGTAAATCAGCAAACACTGCTGCGGAGAAGTGACTCGTGCACTCCAGCCTGCCCCAGAATCACCTGCATACCTGATCCAGTGGGTCAGGAGGAAGGCCCAAGAATGTGCATTTCCAACAAGTTCCCGGCAGATGTGGACATGGCGGGTTGGGCGGAGGTGTGTGTGTGGGGGGCGGGGCACTGCCCTGTTTTAAAGCAAGAACGAACGCTGCTTTTCCGCCTGCACAGAGGAGCTCCTGCCTTGATCCAGCCTACCCACCAGCAGCCACTTGAGGTCAAGCGCACAGAGCTGGATAAAGAAAACGAAAACTGCGAAGAAGGCCTATGTAAAAATCTAATCACAGATGGGTTTAGTCTGTAGTTTATCCAACTGTTGTGAGTTTTTTAGAAGTGATTTTAGACTCTGACTTAGACTATGTGGAATATGATTTCAACAGGTGGTGATGATGATGAAGGCAAAACAAGTGATGAGTTAGGCTGCTTTGCAGAGAGAAATCCTAGAGAATTTACCGAAACAAGAGGAATAGAAGAAAAACAATTTCTATGTGGAAGGCATTTAAGGTGTTTCAAAGAAAGTTACATGTTAACGTTGGAAAACGAGGAAGTTCTTGGAAAAAAAAATTATCCTAGTGCTAGTCTTGACACTTTATGGTAGGCAGTGGAAAGATGCTCTGGAGGAATCAGAGGAGCCGGAATTGTTCAGGGCAAGGGGTTTGTGGGATTGCCGTGAAGATGCGTCCTGCTTGGAGTGTAGCCGAACCAGAAATGCTTAGTATCGGGGGCACCTGGGTGGCTCAGTTGGTTAAGCGACTGCCTTCGGCTCAGGTCATGATCCTGGAGTCCCGGGATTGAGTCCCGAGTCGGGCTCCCTGCTCGACAGGGAGTCTGCTTCTCCCTCTGACCCTAACCCCTCTCATGTGCTCTCTTTCATTCTCTCCCTCTCATATAAATAAATAAAATCTTAAAGAAAGAAAGAAATGCTTGGTATCGGGCACTGAGAATGTGCTGGGCTGGGAGTCCGACCTTTGGGTTCTGGTACTAGCTCTGCTTTCACCAGTTTGTCTCTGGAAAGTAAGGGGATGACACTTCAGAATTCCTCAAAGCCCCAACCTCACCCGATAAGAACGGATGGAATAAGCAGCTCCTGATTTTTGGGAAGGCTGTCTGTGGCGCTGGGTTTCTTTGTGTCTGTCTGCCTCCCCTCTCCCTCTGGAAAGTCAGGGTACTTCAGAAACAGAAATGGGCTCAGTGCCTTGTCCCAGCAACTGCCATAACCCTCATTTTGCGCTATGGCCGGGGAAATAATATGCGCACCCCGCAAAGCACCCCTTGTGGGGGTAAAGAGGCCACGCCATCTTCTAAGGAGGAAAACAGGGGCGGGGGGCGTGTAGAGAAACTTCTTGAGCACTACTTGGAGCAGATGGACATGGTGTGAATTAGAGACTACCTGGTGTATGTGGAGGACATCCGTTCAGGACCAGAGACAGAGACTCCTTGACATCATGGCTTAAAGCCTAGGATGCTCCAGGCTCCCGAAGACATGTGACAGACCTCTAAATGAGTTCCAGAAGGCTTTAACGTCACAAAAGTCTGATCTTTAAAAGACAACTAGGGAAACAAAGGCCCATCAGTCATGTGGTTCTTCCCCAGACTATTAAAATGGACTCGGGGAAGGATCCCTCGGTGCTCCAGCTAGAGACCAAATGTTTGTCCTGAAGGATGGGAAGGCTGAGTTTTCCACAGTTTTTGGAGGTAATGCACTTTAACTTTATATTTTGAAAAAATTGCAGACTTAGAGAAAAAAATGCAAGACCTTATGCAATTCATATACACCTCATCCAGATTCACCGGTTATTAACATTTAGGTACATTTGCTCTCTCTCTCTCATATATATGTGCCCATATGTGTATAGATGCACATACATATTATTATTTTCTGAACCCTCTGAGAACTAGAAATGAGTTTTTGAGTGTTCTTCCTGAATCATCGTTAACCATAGAAATCAAAACGAGACTATGTGCTTGTAGCAAAAAGAAATTCTCTCCTTTGGCAAGCCCCAGTACCAAGTCCCGGTTTCTGTTTTTCTTTTGATCTATCAGCACTTGTGCCCCTAGGTACTGACAGGTGTGATCTGTAGCTTGTGTCCACTTTTCCTGCATTTTAATATCATTTCCATTTAAAGGCTAAATGTAATTTAGCAAACCTAAAGGAAAAAAAACCACTATATGCATGTTTCTTATTTGTAAGTTGATCTTTGTTGATAACATATTTACTTTAATACAGGATTAAGTTGTATGCATAATGGACATTTGTCAGGTTTCCCTGTTTTTATTTATTTTGGGGAGTTATCTAGTATTTGAACCCCTTTCCTGTTTGGATAGACGGGATCATGGGGAGAAATTATGTGGGGGAGGTCGACTGAGCAATACAATACAGAAATAAAAAGGAGAGTTAGTTATGTGGGATGAAAAGCAGAAGTAGCCTCCCCACCGCCAAAGTGCTGGAAACAACCCAAATGCCCACATTGGTGAATGGATAGACAAATGGCTGCATTGGTACGAGGGAATACTATCCAGCAGTATAAAAGAATGACACATACTACAATATAGGTGAACCTCAAAACTACTATGCTAAGTGAAAGAAGCCAGACACAAAGACCACAAGTTGTGAAATTCCTTTTCTATGAAATGTCCAGAAAAGGCAAATATATGGAGACAGAAAGCAGATAGTGGTTCCTGGGGCCAGGGGTGGGAAAGGGAGTGAGTGCAAATGGGCACAAAGGATCTTTTTGGGGGTGATGGAAGTGTGTTAAATTGGATGGTTACACAATTCTGTAAATGTGCTAAAAATCTTGACTTGTACACTCAAAATGAGTGGATATTATGGTATGTAAATTATACCTCGATAAAGCCTTTTTTTTTTTTTTAAGAGTTATTTGGGATGGAGTAAAGGTAAAGAGCAGAAATGTCCTGCTCTTAGAATGCTCAGGAGACTCCAGTAGAGGGGATATTCTAATCTGAGACTGTGATTTACAAAAACAAATGATAGAGCCAGGGAGAGGGATTGCAGTTTAGAAGGACCAAACCAAAATACAGTCCTGGGCAGGGAAGGAGGATTATAAGAGGCAGCAGAGAGAAAGGGAGAGGTCTCAGAATTTGCCATCTCTGGTGCTGGTTCCCAGCTTGGAAATGGACTCCCAACAAAGTCTTTTCCCTCTACTCCACACTCATGTGAGGCCCCAGAAACAGTGCTGCTACACCTTCTTCCCAGGAAAAGTCTCCGCGGGCGCCAGGCTGTTTTTCCTGACAGGGATACCACCTATAGCAATGATGCTAAGGGGAAGCCCCTGGTAATGGAGCAGCATTAATCAAACAACAGATAATCTAAGGCATAGACATTTAAAAAAAAAAATTCAATTTGTAGAGGTGCCTGGGTGGCTCAGTCGGTTAAGTGTCTGTCTTCGGCTCAGGTCCTGATCCCGGGGTCCTGGGATCGAGTCCCGAGTCGGGCTCCATGCTCAGCGGGGTGTCTGCTTCTCTCTCTGCCCTCCCCATCACTTGTGCTCTCTCTCTCTCTCTCTCAAATAACTAAATAAAATCTTTAAAAAATTTTCAAGTTGTAAAGGACCTCAACCAGCATAAACTTCAAAAGAACCCAGATAAAGCAAACTAGTGGCCACGTTTTTAAGTGGCTTTTAAAAAAATTTTAATTCCAGTGTTGTTAACCTGCAGTGTTACCCTAGTTTCAGGTGTGCTTAAGTGGCTTCTGATAAAGCAGAGCTGAGTGGGCCCTCCTCCAGGGCTGGGCTAAGTTTACCCCATAGCTCAGGTCCAGGGGATGGTGAGTGATACTAACAATCATTTACTGGGGGAGTCCTCAGTGCCACCTTGATGCTCCACCTTCTACCCACGGAATCCTCAGGACGGCTCTTGGAGAGGGGGACTGCTCCAACCGCCTTCTTACAGATGGGGGCTCTGAGGCACAGAGACCTGAAATTATTTGCCTGTGGGTCTGTAGAGCTCACAGCCAACAGATGACAGAGTTGGCATCAGGACCCAGAGTTAGGGACCCAGAGGTGGTGTCCACAAACAGTGTGCTATCCTGCCCTCCTAAAGAATTAGCTGTGGGATACTTCCAGTTCATCACGATTCTGAAGCTGGTAGAGTTCAGTTCAACAACAGGTATTGAGCCCATTGGCTCTGGGAATATAAAGCTTGTGTATTTTCCTTTCAGTGAATATTTACCAAGCCACTCCTCTGTGCCGAACACTAAACATCTGTGCTAGACCTTGGCCCCCCCAGGTGGTGGAAGAGTCCCTTTTCTTAAGGAGCCGCGATCCAGGTAGAGGCACGAACCTACAGGAAAGTTCGGAGACAGGGCTGTAAGAGGCTTGCTGTCGTGGGGGGCCTGAGTGGGGGCACCTGGAGCAAACCAAGAGTCGGTGGTGAGCGTCTGGCAAAGGCCTCCTGCAGATGTGAAATCTAAGCCGGGACCTCAGCCCTGCCCTTCCCTGCGCGTCTCGGCTAGAGCCTTTGTGGAGTTCATGCGTGCTGTGTATTCGGTATCCCTGTATGACACCCAGCAGAAAACAGCTCTTTCTTATCAGAGAAGTTCGCACGGTTGACATCAGGTCTCCGAGAGTTAAAGTCTCCCTCTGCCTGTAGGTGTAGGCTCT